TAGCGTGGTGGACTCGGATGGAAGGCGACTGACGCGTGGCTCTGGCTTGTGATTGGTCAATAAAGCCTGTTCTATTTTACCGGTCTTTTTTCTATTAGGGCTTTGGTATTCTACAGTGGCGACGTATAAGAGGGCAGACATATTGTGCCACCCTTGCCTCAGCCAACCCGTCTCTTAGGGATCCAATGTCACACGAGAAAGATAATCAGTCAACCATGGAAAGACACAAATAAAAAGTAGTATATAAGAAGCGGCGTGGCCAGCACAATGTACCCGGATGGACGGCGCCTGATGTGTGGTTCTACCTTGTAATTGGTCAATAAAGCCTTTTCTGTTGAACCAGTCTTCTTTATACAAGGGCTTAGGTATTCCACGGTAGCGACGTATAAGTTTGCAGATATATTTGACAAGACTGGCCTCAGTCAATCCTCAGTCTCTGCATTCTAATGGCATGCGAGGAAGAAATGCAGCCAGCCAGAGACAGATACGATGCTGGACTCAGATGAATGGAGCCTGTCGTATGATAAATTCAAGTTACGTTTAACTCCTTGCTATTGTATTATTTAACCTAAAAGGTGGTATTGTAAAATAGAGGTCAGAAATGTGGTTTTTTGGAAATAAAGTATCTAAGTAACACCCTAGTAAAATCTCAGCGAGATCAAGTGATTAAAATTGCTGATTCAGTCAAAGATTGGCATTGTTATTAGCGTGATTATTATAGCACCTCAAAGCCGTTGGCTCCCAATACAATCCGCAAACAACTCACTTTTTATTATAAATGGCCATCAGTTGCTCACCAAGATTTTAGTCCAAGGGAACAGTCTTTAAATGTATTTTGCAGCGGCAGATGTCGGACGACCAATCGGTGGAGTTTATTTTTCTCTTAGTTTAATTTTTCGCTGACACAAGGCAACTGTCGCCTATTAAAAAAACTACTTTACCCGTACAGAAAATTTTTAGTATCAATCATTTTGATAAAATTTCGTCAAAATGGCCCAGACTTTATGAAATCTGCGTCATATGTAATGCGCCATGTTGTGACGAAAAGTTCAGCAACATTTACTTACACAAGTAAAACGTGTAATTAGTTTAATCGTGGATGATAGCTTCGCAGTACTTTTCCCTGGCACGGCTTCTTCGAGTGCCTCGCATTACCTTTGAAGTTTGTAGATTTAAATCACTGTGACGACCACAAAGCCCTAAAACCTTAATAAATTATCTTGCAATGAGGCAATGATGTAAATAACTGATTTAATGTATATTCCTAATAATTTAGGCTAGTAGGCCTTGAAAAATGCTTTCTGATAAACACTTAAATGGTTTTTTAAAGTTAAATTAATGTTTTCTGAACACATGTATACTTGCGTGAGAGATGTTACCCATTTGCTGATGATGATCCCCATTAAAGTCCCTGTACACGAAATAATTATTCTTGTGCCATTTAAAATACCGGTCGTTGAAATATGTGTTTTTGGTTTATTAGCTCTGATTGTGGTACGTAAATTACAACTTGTGTAATCGGAATCTAAGATACCTCTCTGTTTTTTAGCAGTTTCGTACTACAGCACATGACATGACATGCAATCGCATGTAATCATCTATTATTGCTCATGTCTCCCCGTAGTCAAAAGCACATTTGCCAGTTGTGTAAATGTAATGCGATATCATCTAGAAAAAAACATTAATTTGATCACCACATAACTTGTTTATGTTTCAATTATGCATCTGCTCGTTGAAAGGTCATATCTTATAAAAACACTACTAAAATCTATTTTTTTGCCGTACGCGATCCGTGGAAGTGCTTTCTAAAGACAGTTAGACACACGTTGACAAAATGACCACTGCTAATCTAACCAAATGTGTTCACATTTGTCCAATGGCTTTGTTCGTTTCGAAAGCTCATCTAGCCGAAGTGTGGTTCAAAGGCATCACTAATAATTAACCAGATAAAGAGGATCCAAATTATATGCCGTGACATGGTTTAAGTAACCAAACCGGTTTGCAATCGACTGCGGTAGTATAGTTGTGTTTCCAATTTTTAAGTATTCCGAGTTGGTGTCATGACCTTACCGATGAATGAAATAACCACGAATTAGCCTGGGGCGTTCATTTAATCCATGTGTCCATTTATGTGAATTTAGATTTGCGTCCAATTCTAAAGCATTTATCCTTAGTTTGAAATGCTGGAAACCCCTAGGACTACTTTCAATTCTAGGCGTACACTTGGGACATTTGGTGGCGTGTTTTCACTCGTCACTCTTTCTCAGTTTAGTAGTGTGATCTTTCTTAGATTAGGTACGTTTTACGCTACTGTGTATTTTTAGGCTTTCTTGTTGGACAGGCAGGGTTGATTATAACCGTTCTGCAATTTTTTCTCGCGTATTTGATCCTGCTTCTCACCATATTCTCCGTTTGTGCAATTAGTACAAATGGTGCCGTAGAAGGTGGAGGTGTCTATTGTATCCTTTTAACGGCTGCTTTTGATGCATGTTTTTAATTGTTTGACGACTAATTCAGTCAAAAAATGGTTCTAATCTTAACTTCGTGTAGTCATGCTTAGTCGCGTCCTGGGACCGGAATTTGGTGGTGCTGTCGGGGCAGTGTTTTACCTCTCCCAAGTGTTTTGTGCCGCCCTTTACCTATCCGGTTTTGTTGAGGCTGTCTGTGCGAACTTTGGCCCTGGAGGTATGAGGTTTTTCTTTTTTCAATGTTCCCCGTGTATTCGCCTAAACTGCAAATTTTTTAACCTTTAAATAGGGACTGGAGATATTTAAACGTTGTTTTTCGTTTCATTTCATCCTTCCGCGTTCATTCTTAGTGTTTCATACTGCTTTTGTAATTTTTAACATGATGTAATTTGTTCATTAGGCGTTCTAATCAGTGAAGGCCTTCCAGGCGTCAGCTATTGGTGGAAATATCTTTATGCAAGTTGTGCTAACTTTTGCTGCCTTCTGGTGCTGTGCGTGGGAAGTCGCATGTTCATGCGGACAAATGTTCTTCTGCTTTTGGTAAGTCATAAGTTGTGATATTTAGTGTTGCCACTTTACCTGAACACACCCCGCTCTACACTCCAGCAGAACTTGAGACATCCAGCCAATTAAAATTTTCACGGAAATTTGGTTTCTGGCTCATAAATCATTAGTCTCGCTTTTTACTTATCAGGTTTGCATTTATTTAATTTTGTACTAATCACCCCGACTTGTTTGTTTTTTTTGTGTTTTTATTTGGAACCTAGCAATTTATGTTGGTCTTTCGATTTAAACGAACAAAACTTTGCGATGTATCCATCTTTTCTTATTCACAAAAATAGCTCGTCTTTGGAGTGATTGTGTTCGTCGCCTCGGGATTCTTTCAGCCTGCCTTCGATGTACCCGTACCACAAGTAAATGGACTAGTTTACAATCATAGTAACCCAAATCAGACCGTGGTCATGGTTGCTTTCACCGGCTTCAATGCTACCACAATGAAAGACAATCTATTTGGTAGGTATTATTGCCCTACATTTGAGGTGTGTCTGGTTGGTTATGGCGGACATGCTTGTGGTAGTGTCATTTGATTATGCCTTTCTGTCGGGTGGTTGTTGTAATTCTGTTCAAACCCCTGTCTTCTAAATGGAGGAGTCTGCACGATAGGAATTATGCTTCTTAGGAAATATTGGATGTAAAGTAGCTGAAGAAACAATACATGTAGACGTTTTCATTTTATGTAAAGGATTAAAAACAGGGTTAATGTGTATGACTCTTGTCACGAAATCGGACTAGGGTTGCGCTTACAATGTAATTGGTCAAAAAGCAAAGAGTGTTCGTTTGCTATCAATCACGGCTTGAAAAACGGGCACTTTATGTTTGTTTGAATTACTTTACTTCTTTGGATAGTGTAATTTTTCTTTGGTCATATTTGTGTGATGATATCTGTGTGAACCGTTTCCAGAAGCAGTTAATCTAACAGTTTTTTTGCTTATTTTAGCCAATTACACTCTCGATTACGAAAGCGGTGGGCAAACGAGTTTCGTACTTCTATTTGCCGTTCTCTTTTCTGGCGTTACTGGTATAATGAACGGGGCAAACATGTCAGGTATTCAGCTCATCAGTTGTTGTGCTGCCGTTTGGAAACTAACATCGTAGTAGCTGTTAATGCTGCATTTTCTGTTCAGTAGTAATTCAAAAGTTGACCTTGAGAAAACCCGCTTTATTGCCGCACGTGTTTTGACTCTGGAAGCCATCAACATGCTGTAAATAACAGGTTTTGTGAGCGATTTGAGCATGCCATTTTGCATACTGAAAGCAAGACATTTGACGGTAGATATGGCCTAGAAAAGCCTCACGGAACTAAGACATCGGTCGTTAGTCCTGTCATCACAAAGGCGTTTTCACGTTTACTCACGAAAAAGTCAATTGGTCTTTTTTGTTATAAATGTAGTACTAATGTAGGTGTCATTTGTGGGTTATGATAACGCTCTCATAGGAACCCAAAATTAATCTTTTTTTGCGGCGTTTTGTTAGTCCTTTTTATTAGATCCTAAGAGCTTGCTCTCTGCAAAAAAGTGTGCATTTAAAGGTCTTCCACCACATTATTATAGTGCTTAGTTTACTGGTTTGTTACCCCTCTTTCAGTTGATTTAAGAAAATGGTGGGCTAGCAGGTTTTGTCTCCTCTTTCTCTGCATCGTTTTAATTTACTGTATGGATCAGGCACGTTAGGTATTCGATTTACTTTAATTGAGTCGTTACTTCAGTGCAACTTTTTGACGGTTCTGTTAAAAATACTTTTTCTGGAATGGGTACAGCCAGATCTTGTCATTGGTGTTTTTTTTTCTAAATTTAGGCGAACTGCGGAAACCGTCAGTTTCCATACCGAGGGGCACCCTTGCGGCAGTGGCTACCACCTTGTCTGTCTACCTCATTCTCACCGTCCTAACTGCCGCCACTTGCAGTAGGTGGGTCGCGCTTAAGCTAGCCCAGAAGTCCGTCGTTGTTCGGGTGATGTTTAAGCCACAAGTTCTCAAGAATGCGAAACACTGGCACCGAGTTTGTTTTTTTTTGTTAAATATTTTAACCCATTCTTAGTAAAATGACCCATGGTTTTAAACTAATCCATGAACCTACAAAATCACACTCCCAGGCCAAATTCACATATTTGGGTGTGAAACCTAGCCACTCATCTGGCAACGGCCAAATGTAAAACTTCCCTGGTTGAGACTTGGTTCGCTACTCAAACTCCACCCAACATTTCGCTCTCACTGCGCCTTTATGTAAGACTTGGAAGTCAATCATGATGCTTAACGCAGCAGTCTGCTACTCTTGCCTGATCGGTCTCTGCACACCTTCTAGGCGTTTGCTCGTTGACAACTACTCGTACATGCAAAGCATCGCATTCTGGCCACCGCTCGCAACCGTGGGCGTCCTCGCCACGACCCTCTCCGCGGCGCTGGGCAACCTGATTGGGGGCTCGCGCGTCCTTGAGGCCTTGGCTGTGGACGAAATCTTCGGTAAGCACAGTGGCCCAGAGCGACTACGCATCGCTGTTGCAGTACTTGTGCACAAAGAATAGTGACCTGTCCGATCGTGCCGATTATGTACATTCCTGTGTTTGTTAATCCAATGCGAATTTCGTCTTCCTGTTTAATAACCCGTTGAGTCTTTCGCAATTTTGGCGTTCATATTTTGTCGTCACCTCGTGTCATTTCTAAACACATAACCGTTTACTCATGGGGCGACTGGGCATCTCACCTGATGCTCAGTCACCAGTTTTTTAAGCATTTTATTCCTGTTTTAGATAGCCTATGCAGGTATATTGGCCGTGCTTTGATTCTTATATATATTTTTTAACTACAGGCACTTGTCTCCGACCCATGAAGTGGACAACCGCCGGTGGCAACCCCATTTTCGCCGTTCTCTTCAGTCACTCAGCCGTTCAGGTAGGATAAGCCGCTTGTCAGCTATTTCAGTAGAGCCTAGTAATTTTAGTGTCCCATCGTTGAGAATTTAGTCACACGTGAGGCCTGTTTAGTTTTATCCAACTCCCAGGCAACACTTTGGTTCCGACGAATTGCCGGCATCATTAAGCATGGCGTGCGTATAAGTTATTCCATTTGTTTCAGCTGTGTACGTGTCCGATTCACACAACAGATATGTTCATCTCAGGCGAGACAAGTGCTTCTACGACCCCACCAATTAATAAGTTGCAAATAATTAATTCATTTGCTATCCGTACAAAATGACCAAAGCCAAGCACTAAGCCCTAGATTGGAAACCGCTACCCGTCATGCCTTTTTTAAAACAAATACACTACTATCGGAAAATAGTACAACAAAATGTTGTGCGTTTAATTTAGTACTAGAGCATCATCGTCCGAAGTTCTTAGGCTTTTAAAGATCGGTGTTTGTATATCCAGAAATGCAATTTACGAAGTATCTGACATCTGCCTGGTAGCTGACAATTTGCCCTCTTCTGGGATTCAGAATTGTTGCCATGAAAAGTGGTTTATGCATCGTAAATTATCACGAATAACGGAGCAGTGCAAGTCTTCTTAAACCAGGGCTTGAGTTGATGCACTAACTGTTGCGGTGTCATCACATAAACATCCCGGTGTGGCGCCGTCATTGTTGAATGCCGCGCCCTCTCCTCCTTCCGCCCCTGGCTTCTTCGTGCTTTTTTCCACTACATTAATGAAGGGACACGGAAAGACAAAAACATTTGTTTGAAATTTGTGATAGGGGTATTCTTTATGAAGAAAGCAGTTTTCGTATGATTTTGAAAATTTGAGATTTATCCTCTGGTTTAAAGTTCGTAAAATTTCATCAATGTCTCGTATAACTAGAGCAGCTTAAGTCGTTCTATGGCGGTTGGTGTACATTCGTAAGCTGAGTTTTCCTTTTGCATCGCGGTTTGAAATTTCTCGGCTTCTCTCTGGTGCGTTTTCGACTTAAAATATTAAGTGCGTGGTTTCCATTCAAGTATTTTTTTTCTCGATTTTAAATATTTGGTGTATGACTTAATTCTTACAGATTTTTCAACAAATTTACTCGATGTAAGAAAATTACGAACAGCGAACATAAATTTGGAAGTATTGTCTTTTGTTTTCAATAACCTCCCACCATGTTATGGGCCTCAGCATGCGGTCTTGAACCACGCCGGGGCCACTGAATTAACTCTGGCCCGATTACGCTTCCCTGATACTCGCGATTAACAAAAAGACCGGGGAGGACGTGGACACAACCGTTTACTTCAGAGCTCAGCCACGTTTGTGTCGTGTGTGTGGGGTTTGTGCGTGTGTATTTAAACCCCAGATGCGTGAGTCATCAATGCGCTAACATCGAGACCTAGGTGTGAGGCTAATCCAAGATAAATATCATTGTGAATGAAGGGGGAGTTGAGGACCGGACGTGCTGGGAAAAGGGAAATCCCGTGTCGGAGGCTGGAGCGACCGGATTAAGGAGCGTGAATGAACACGATCCACAACAGCCATCTCTCTGCTATCAAATGAGTGGGGTCTCAAAATATGCTTGCATGCTTCGAGACAATACAGTCATCGACGAATTCACGCACATCGTCTTCAGCGTTTGGAACTGCTTGTCCACTAAGGCGTGCTGCTGCATTAACCGGAATAAGTGGCAGTCGGATGGGGACACGTGTGGAAGAACTTCCTATCCCAAGTTCGCGAGGGCCTTCTGAGTCGCGCGAGCAATGTGATGTGGTCGAGCGTTTTCATGCAGCAGCAGCAGCAGTATGACTTGCCTGCTTCCTTGCCCAATAAATGGTCTTTTCTGATCAAGTTCTTAGCTCAGTTTGTTCAATTGTCCGCTGTGGCATTCTGCAGTCATCGTCTGACGACCACTTTCCAGAAGTTCGTAATAAAGTGCAGTCTTCATGTCCCACTGGATACACAGAAGAACCCGTTTCTTTAAGTGGATGTTCTGTTTCAGCGTCTATGTACAGGGTTACTCGGGATCTACCCACTATTTTATTACGTTTGAGATTCTCGCAGAAATATACCTTTCATCAGCTCTCACCACTTTCCACAAGAAGTCTTTTTTTGTAGCCGACGGGAAAGTAGTGAAAGGCAAGCGTTAATGCATTGACCTAAGTCGTGTTCGGTCAACACATGCGGGACACACCTTCCAAGTTTTTTGATTTCTTGTCATTTGGTGCAAACGCTTGGCAATAGATGTTTGGGGACTCCTAAGTGAACTGCAAGTTCTTGTTGCGTTTGCGTCAAGTCTGCATCCAGTTGAGCCTGCAATGCCGTATCTTCAAACTCGAGTCTGCTGTTCGGGGCGTGGCTGGTCACTAAGAGTGTTTGTCCCAATAATTACACACATAAGGGACACTAAGACCGAAATCTACACTTATAAAACATTTGTATCAATAATTACACGTTTCGGAAGACACAACGTTGGTACCAAGAACAATGCAAATTTATTTCTATGCTCTAGAAGCATTTTTCCTTGATGGAATTCGTGCGAAACGCAGTGTCAAATGTACTGTTTATCAGTTGCCATCGCATGCTCTGCTGTTCGTAGAGGTTATGTAACTCACGTAGACCCGTCGTTTGGTCTTGTGAAGCCTTGCGTCCAATCCTTTCGAAACCACAAAAACTGCGAATATATATATATTTAACTTTAAAACTTCTGTACAAATTAACTCTTTCAACTCATATTTGCTGGATTCTTGAGCGTGAAAGCTATCTCCACGGTGCGATTTGTGTTGTCTCAAGTCAGAACAAAATTTAAATTTCCGTTGCCAGCCGTCTTATTTGAGTCCACGGCCCCTAAGTGTGCTGGGTTGTTTGTAAGTCTTCCCCAGGGAAACCTGTCGTCGCTGCATCAACAAATCTAAACGACTACAATACTCTTAAGTCATGAAGCACTAACCTAACTTGTTATTGTAGAACCGTCAATTTTTGTCAACAAACTTACCACTTTGGTTTTATCTGTCTGTGTGTATGTTGTTCTCCTTTATAACCCTGCTCTATTCGTCCCTCGTAGCTGATATTTTTCATCGGCAACATGAATGCCATCGCACCGGCCGTCTCCGTCTTCTTCCTGCTCGCCTACGCCTCTGTCAACCTCGCCTGTGCCCTTTTAGACACTGCGTCTCCCGCCAACTTTAGGCAAGGTTCCATCTTCTGACCTTGTTTACGTTTTGTGTTATGTTTTACAAGATAATTCTGAGTAGAGTAACTTCTGTGACCCCGTACTCTTTTAGATTTCGAGTAGTCTTCCACCACTACGGCTTGCTTTAGAATTCAGCTCACTAGTTATTGAAAAGTTTTCAGCTATTTTAGCATCCGAAAACTTGTCTTTAGTTTCGGCTGTTGCCCTTATTAATATGGGGCCAATTGAATTGAATCACACCGAAGTCCTTTTATTAATCAATGGCCCCAATCACGACCCACAACGCTCTCAATGCCTCCATCTGTTACCTTTCTTGAAGGCCAACTTTTAAGTCGTTTAATTGGGTGACTGCACTTTTGGGGATGCTCGGGTGCCTGGCGATGTGCATCCTCATCCAGCCCCTCTACACCCTCGGAGCCGTCGCTCTCCTCGCGACTCTCGTCTGCTGTCTGCACCGCCGCCGGATGACCGTCTCCTGGGGCCACATCGGACAGGCCCTCATCTTCCACCAGGTGCGTACGTTGCATCCGCTCGCACAGCTTTTACCTGTCACATATTCAACAAACTAGGGGCTGATTGGACGTTCACTTCCACCAATCTGTGCAGTCACCGCTGTTCTGCGTCCCCAAACCTTTACGATAGTCGTAGATAGCAGTGGAATGGATCACCAAATTGAAGTCGTCGTTTGCATTACATTCGAGGCAATGTAAGAAGTACACTGAAATTTTGGGCCTGTTTAAAGTAACATCTCGAGATCCCATCCAAGCCTAACGTACAAAAAAGCGTTTTTCAACATTGCTATTTCCCCGTCGTGTTCAGCATACTTCGTGATTAATGATGCATTTTTGCCGACTAAGGGTTGGGCCTTGTGTCTCAGTACAACCTTGTTAAGTTGCCTGATTCTATGCGCTAAATTTATGAGCCTATTCATCATTATGTTAATGCTGCCCTTTAAATGGACCGATGTGGTGCACACCGGTCCTCTGAAGCCACATAAACACACCCATTATTATCACGCCACTGGTTGAATCTATGTGAGGTCTTCACCTTCCCTCTCTACCTGCCAACCGTGATGCCAGCCACCACGTCACGCTCAATGGAAATCGGTTCTTAAGTATCGTGCGGCCTTTTATCATAATTGCTTGTCTACTTTTCTTCGGTTGACTTGTTTTTTTTGTTTATCGCCAACACACCGGAATGGTTGCCCCATATCGATTCACACTCAAAGCGAACACGCTCCTGCCCCCTTTTTTGACCTTGTCACTTGGTCGCTGAACCTAAACAATATTTACATTACATGAATTAGCTTTGAAGTGAAATGTGAATGTTAAAATAGGACCACAGGACAACTGTCACTTACCTGACTATTGCCTATTACCAGACGGTTACCGCCCTAAATCCTATCCAATAAACTCCATGCTAAACAAACTACTTTTTAGGGCAGCACTCCTGTCGCTTTGCTATCTGTATCCAACGCATAACACATTCGCGTACCGGTATATTTCGTTATAATATTTCATTTTTATAATAAATCAGGCTTTTAGTGCCGAATACTCTGCACCTTCGATGCTGTTTTTACCCTCACTCACTCGCTAAACACATGCCTCATGCCCAACCAATTGATTCCCCACTCAAAAAACCTACTGGACGATGGGAGAAAGATTTAATCCGTCTTTCTTTTAGGCTTTTGAGGAACTCATAGGAAAAAGTGGTTTTGGAAGGGTTCAGGGCTTGAGCTACGCATTAAACTCTTCGTCTGGTGTTAGCCTGCACGCTACGCTATTTCGGCATTGCGATGTCTGTGCGTCACATTCTGGTAGCAAAGATACATGAATTGGCAAAAGCCTTCCTTTGTTGATGACACCAGCGCTTTACGAAAAAAATTGTCACCTGTGTTGGTTTCGGGTAAACAGCCTTTCCTTGTGCTTCCGAGGGTTTCCTTTTAGCCTTGGCTTTTCGCCATGCAGCAATTGTTTTGGTTCTGCTACTGAACACGCGCTCCCTCCCTGACAAGGGCTGTGTTTTTACCAAAAAATGATCACGACAACTAGTCCTGCTTGTGCACGCACGACCCAACTCTCGCGCCCTACTCCGCTGCCAACGTGCTGCGCTCCTGAGGCTGGCGTTGTATTGACCGCGCTTCCCCCCTCCCCATTGGGCGTACTTAAGCTGGCTATTTTCGAAGTCACGACTGCGTGTGATGCTACGTGGCACTAGTCTGCCGCTCTTAAGGCGGTGCATCATAATCTTGGTGCACTTTATGTGAGTGATGCTTTAAAGGGCATCTGCTATTCCAACTTATACTTGGCACGAGGCCACGCAGTGGCAACCACGCGCACACTCCAATCCGATGCCATCCGGCCGCGTAATACGCAATTCACCATAATTTCCTCAACTCCTTTTTTCGGACACGCCTCACCACGAGGGTTCCTTTAGTGCTACAAATTGCAAAGGCTCCGAGTGGGCGTTATTGGTTCTCATTCGCGTGTCTCAGTAGTTGCATTCTTCAAGCTATTAATTTCTGATCAGCATTTAGGTTTCTGAATGATGCCAAATGATGTGGATGAACGCTGTGCAAACAGAGTGACATTTAGGTCTTTCTGACACTGCTGTGGTATCAGCTAATGCACCGGCGGTTTTCTAAAACTAAGAATTGGGCTCTATTTTTTATTGTCAGACACGTGCCTAACGCTTTGGGAAGTTGTCGAAAGTAGCTGAATGACGTCAACAGACTTTAATCGAATTATTTTTTTCAAGTACTGAACCTTTCTGTTAGATATCTTCGAGCCAATCTATTGATCGCCGAACCTCTTTTGAACAGATTTACTTAACTTCTGAAGTTGGTGCTACCAAAGTTTATCGTGATCTATCCACTTAACTTACCAGGCACTACGTCTCTTGCACGTTATTTAAGGTAATCACACACATTGAAGAAGCTTTACCCACTTCAACCATCAGAATCTTCGATCTCCCTTCGATTAATTGACGATGGTGTTATAGACTTTAAACTGGAACCCTCACTTTGTGGAAAAACACACAAGTGCGCTGCATAGTCCAATAACCACTTAAATCTGCGCTTAATTAAATTCCAACGGCTTTTTTCACTATGGGATTTATGTCCTGTTTCAGTTAGAGTCCTAATTGAATACACCTTACTTATCAGATATGTTGTCGACAGCGTGGTTACAAGGTCTAAGTGAGTCTTTGGAGTTCTCGTGAAGACGTTGCGCGTTGGTTATCGTGTTGACAGGGCAAAATTTCAATTCAGGTGCGAAAATACCTCCTCTTGTTGGATGCCTCGAAGGAACACGTCAAGTATTGGCGACCGCAGATCCTCCTGCTCGTTGCAAGTCCCCGGTCGGCCGCTTCTCTTGTGCACTTCATGAATTCGGTGAAGAAGGGTGGCCTCTACGTTCTGGGCCATGTCATCTCGTCAACGCAGTCCGAACAAACTCACCTCGACACTGATGATCCCTGCATCATCGCACAAAAGTGAGTTTTTTTCCTGCTTCTTAAAGTTCACTCATTTGCGATGTGTTTGCTTCGATGTGTTTAGTAGATTAGCCACAACCGAAGCACCTTTTACTGGTTCTAAATTTTAACAACTCTAAGTTTACTTTGTCTGCGTTTTCAGTTTTTAGGTTGCCATTATAATCACGTTTTTGAAACAAGGAAACACGTCGTCTTTAACAATCTTGCATAATTTCTGGTCTGTTTCACTGTTTTTATCTTAAATCAATTGACTTTTCGTTCGTCGAATTTCGCCCAATCACTTTTGAGTGAGTTGTCAAATTTTCTGGTACAATTTTGCGATTAATAGGGCACTTTTGAGAGAAGGCATAGTATATATCTAGCTGTCCTACACACTTAACCACATCCAACAACCACACGCATGCGCCTCAACATCCTACAAACCTTGCACTACAGCTAGGGAAAGATATTTACAATCTGTGCTTAATCTCTCGAAATTCGGCTGGTCTTTTAAAATGATCGGTAGTTGTTGACCATGTATGTAGAATTACCATAGAGTTTTCCGAATTCGCTGGTTCTATTTCTCATGTCTTTTCACTCGAACAATCGCAGTAACGACGCGTCGAAGTCAATAGCCGTTTGGAAATGGCATAATCTTGTTTTGAATTAACTTGACCTGGTCTTTACCATAGACACCTAGGCGTTTGCGAAATCACTAAATCCATAACGATAACCGCTTTCGAGGTGTTGTGTAAGTTTTAAGGGTAATTCCCATGACAGTTCTCTATCCTTGCATGTGGATATTTTACTTAACCCCTTAATTACTGTAACAGAAGCATGAAGTTTTTGAATGACTTCCTGCCAGTGGGGTTCTTGACAAGTTTTTGAATTTTCAACTGCGTGCCACTTTATAATCAGCTATCGATGTCTACTTTTCGCAAGTTTTGGACTCTTTAAATCAGATCGGGAAGTCTTTTTTAGGTCAAATCAGAATTTCAATGCGTCCAGTCACTCTTCACAAACCTTGCCAACTTAGGCCGCGCGTTGTCATGACGTATACCATAGTGGGGACCGTCAGTTCGCGCCTACGGTGGTAACCTGGTGACAATCATCGGATCATTACATTCGTAATAACTGCAACGTCACGCCAATTCGCGTGCATGTTAACCATTAATGCTCTTCGTCTAACTGCTTAGGAATTTGTTGAGTCATCATCACCTTTGGTTGTATTCCTTGTGCCGTAACTTTCCGCATTAGCGTCTCACAGATGTTTTGGGCGTTTATTTATGCTCCTGCATTATGTATTATCATAAACACAGCACTATGTCACGTGTCTCGACGGTTTTTTAAACGGCGTTTCGAGGATTGAACTAAGTACTTTTGTATTGGTTCGTCCAAAAGACTACCCACCTCGATTTCTCCTGCGTTAAATCATTGCCTCACTTCCTGACTGACGCCAACCCTTAACCAAAAGCCATAATTGCTGGTTTTATTTAGGTGAGTACTGGTGTACGTCGTTACACGCAATATTGGTCCATCGTAACCATGGTAGGCATCAGAGGTTTGAAACAGGCGTACTTGTTAGCGCCATCATATTGTTAACAATATAACTGGGTTCTTGTCACACTTGTACGTAGACTGCTTTTACCTTTGTTTTGTAGATGTAAATTAAGCTTACGCAATTGACTGTTTATTAAGTCACGCAATCTTGCGTTGTCCGCTACGCAGGTCGTGGTTACAAATAGGGTGCATTTACCAAGCAAACTAGTGTCTCATTAAATCACTTATAGAGCAAGGAACTACTTTCATTCTAGTTCAGATGAATAAATGCCATTTATTGACCAAAGTCGTATTTGACCTTACTGCAGCGCTTTTGAGTTCAGCCGAAGTAAATATCAGTTTAATCGACTCGTCTCACATTAGTACCACTATAAATTTCACGTGGTCAACCAGCATATTTTTCGAAACTCTTAGGATGGGGGGTCAATATGTTAACACTGGGCTGATGTTGGTAGTTACGCAGACTCGAAATTGATTTCTCATCATAACCTCACTCGCGTTAGATACCCACTAGTGCCACGGTGCATGCACGAGTATCGAAGGGGCTGACGTAAAGCCTCCTCATCATCGCATGTGTTTGAAGCGTTAACTAAGTTCGTTGTTTCATGAATTTGCCGTGGATACGAGATTTTCGTTGGGCTTTTCTCCACTAACACCCTTGAGGCCACGATTACCATGGGGGTTACGTTAATTTCATCCCTGCTAGCGTAATACCAAACCTGATATTGTTGAATTCGAGATCAAAAATACTTGTTTTTATCAAAAACAGAGTTGGTTTTCTTAGCTATGTTTTTTCTTTGCTCGTGGTGTGGACGTAGCCCGCACATCATCCCCTAGCGAATCATTGGTGTCCCAACATCCATCAAACACTGCCTCACTCACTCTTTTGACTTAAGAAACCTGGTGAGCTACGTCAAATGCTTGAAAGTGAAGGCCTTTGTCGAGGTGACGCTCAGTGAGGACATCCGACTCGCCCTTGTCCACTTGGTGCGGATCTCCGGTCTCGGAGCCATGAAACCAAACACTGTCTGCCTCGGTTTCTATGATGATGCCGAGCCCATCGTGAGTCGGTCATTTTATCGATCCAACTCGCATAAATACACGCACCAGAGATCGCGCAGTTGTGACAACGAGATTCTTCGTTGGACACTCCACCAATGCCCTTGAGACACCGATTAATACGTGGTTGCTTTCTCCCTGTTCACCTTCACGTTAAAGGAGTTCATTTTTGTTTCAAATTACTTAGCCTCAAATTGTCAAAAGCCCATCTTGTGATCTGTGGCCTCGTAGAGTGCGAACTTAAATTCCGGTCACCAATTTTTCCCACACATATAATTTAACCCACTATTTTTTTAATGCACACCTTTTATTGACGTTGCTTTTAGGCTCGCAAAACAGGCTAAATCACATCTCCTGCCCAATCTCTGTGGGTTTATAACTGGGTCGTGCCTTCTTGTTTGGATTTGTAGTGATATGCACAGGAATGCCTCCCTGGCAGGCTTGTAAATTGAGCTTAAATCATGGCCGTTCGTGGCATTTTATTGGCATATTTTCACGTGTTTTTGTTGTCGTCGTTGTCATTAAGTGTCAAAAGCTGGAACCAACGAAGGCCCTTTTTGAACGGACCACATGGTGCCAAGTTGTGCCGTGTTAGCGGACGGTAGCAAACCGCTTTTGGTTGCGCTTTCATTAACATGCTTAACACTATTAGTTGCCATTTCTTAATAATAGGATACGTTTGCAAAGTTCCGTCTTCGAAACCAATCAAGGGCCCATGGCAAATTGCAGTCCCCGCAGACACCATGTCCAAATTCACCAGGCGATCAAGTAAATCTTGTATCCATCGACAATAACCATTCAGCCGTCAACACGTGTAAGTATCTTTCGCTGTGGAATACAGACTGTAATTTCTCCTTATTTACGTACTTGCTTAGTGAGTTTATACTCAATTCAAGCTACTTCTGCTGAATTTGTGGTGACACGCAGGGTAAATGCGTTTGTCGACGTTATAATCTCCGATAACCCCAACTTTAATCCATCTCTGAGCTTAAAGACCGGCATGGTGGCCTCGTCAGATGTTTAAATTGTGAGCTAAAGGACCACTAAAAGCTTAACCGCGTAGACAATCTCATTCCAGATGTCTCACTTCTTAGTTTAAGTGTTTTTTTCTCGTTCGTGCATCATTAGTCCGTTTTTCGTCCGTGTGCAGCTACTGTCTCAAAGTCTAGCGAATTGGCCAGATTTCTAAGCGATGTAGTTTTTTTTGTTAACTTTCTTTAGTTATGTTGAATAAAACTAGCAGTTGGTACACACAGTTAAGAAAAACGCTGTAATTATGGTGCATTAATCCACTCCATAACGATTTGCCTGTCCAGGCAACGAGGATTTCTCCCTGTCTCTGCCTCAACCAAGAAGTTCATACACTCCCCTCCAACAAGGCGACTCAACTCAAAGACGCATTTCGCCTGTTGAATATGTTGCATTCTTACAGGACCTGATCAAAATGAAGGTTAGTCTATCACCTATTTCCAGCGTGACTGCGTGCAGGGGTATCGTATCACCGAAAATTGCATCAAACTAGTCAAAATATTTTATTTCAACTCAAAGAAATAGATTTTCGGTAGATCCACTGCAGTGTCATCTAAAACGTAGCTTCATAGGTATTGAAGCAGAGCAGTTGTGATAGGCAGGGCATTTTTGATAACGGCGTCGTTGAGGTGTTAACTGGCAAAGCCAACTCGATAATCGATGGGAGTGGTGGATCGCACGCATCGACGTAGTTGTAAAAGTCAATTTGTGGACACGATAAGGTGTCGAGAACATAGCCCAAGG